GGATCTTAGGTGATTATTGATTAGAGTGTGATGAGAAAAAGGGAAGTAATGTGACCGAAGGGTGGAATCCTCACTACCCCATATACTGGGAGAAAAGAGGTTGAGCTATTGGAACTTGGAAGAGGCTTGGGTTCAGTGGAGGGCTAATTTCCAGCACAATCGGCATGATAAAATTCACACATTTTGTTCTGGACAAACGAAGGATAAGCTTGATCTGGAATATTTTTTTTTTCTTTGTTGAACTGCAAGTATGTGGGTCATTGGGTAAACAGGTCATTTCCCTTATCAAAAATAAAAATTTATAAACACCCAAATAAAATCAATTATTACTATTATTATTATAAAGATTATCATGAAAAAAATTATTAATGGGGCTATACTTCCACATCCATTTTAAGTGATTGTTTAGTTTAAGAGAAATAAAGAGGAAGCAAAACGACAAAGATTTCTCCATTTAGATAATAAAAAATATTAAAGAAAAGGACTTAAGTGGTTGTAATTTAGTTGGTAAGAGATTTGCTTTGCACTTTATTGACTAAGATTTGATTTTTTGATGAGACTAATGAAAAGTAATTACTTATGAATTTTTTAATTTTAATGTAAATGACTTACTTTTAATTAGATCAAAAAATGATTAATCTCAAAATATGTATAAGTTAATTTAAGAACATTTTGACCGTTAAATTAATAAATAAATATAAATATATATATATATATATATATTGAAGAAAGGGGAGGAGAATTGATGGAAATAATTTGGGGATTGTAAATGAAATATATAATATTAATGGTATAATATGATTAACAATTATTTTAACATATAACGATTTCAGTGTAATTGAGACCTCATTTGAGAATTGTTATAAATTCAAGACCATAATTAAGCACAATAGAAGTTTAGGACCTTAGTTACAAATTTGGTAAAAATTTGAGACATTATCAGCGCATGCCGTGCTATAAATTTTATTTTATTCTCATTCAACCAAAATTGCCCCTTAATATTTGATTAAAACATTTAAAAAAATAAAACCTAAAAGATAAAATTTTCATTTAAAATAAAAATTAATCAATTTTTTCAAAAATATTAAATTATTTTATTTCTTTTTCTGCCCTTTACCATATTTATTTATCTTAATGAGGGTAAGGGAGGGAAATAGAATGATTAAATATTGTATTTAAGTAAATCATGTATAGTATTTTTTAGACTAATTGAATATATATAATTAGCTCTTTGATCATATAAAATTCAATATATTAAAAATATAATATTTTTATAAAATGGTTATTGATGTTAGATCAATTTAAAAATTAAAATGTATGATTTACATAAATAAAAATATTAATCCAATAATTAAATTTTTGAAATAATAATAAAATATGATGGTTTTAAATTTAAGACTTCAAATTTTTCTAAGAGTTGTAACTAATGCCAAATATATTCTTTTTTTTTTCTTTTTTTTTTTTGGATATAACTCAACGTCAAAGTCATAAATCCAAATCATAATGTGTTGCAAGAACCCACTTTTTGAATATGTCATTAAAATAAATATGTTCCACATGAGAGCAACCCCATATATCTTGTATTATAAACCATGCTTTTGCAATATTACCTTTCCTAGGAGTTGCTTACAAGCAATATTTTTCTCTTTTAGGGTTTAAAAAATTTTGAATAAAAGAAATTGCCTATGAGCAAGATCTACAGAAGGACTGGCCTTGACCTTCTTCTATTGGTTTCCTTTCTTTTCCTTCTTCTGCTTCCCTTTTTCCACTTCCTTGCTTTCTCCTTTTCCTCCCTTGTTTCCTTCTTTCCCCATTGTTTCTCCTTCTTCTCATTTTTAGTTTTGTTTGGTACATATAATGATCGATTATATAAGAGAAAATAATTTTTCACTTTTCTTAAATGTCTTTTCGCTTAACTCAAAATTTAAATATGATATTTTTAATTTAAAATCTTGTAATTTTAATCATATCAATCACCCCTTTTAGGCCTCCTTGTTTTTAGTGCTCCTACTCAACAATTGCTCCCGTTTCTCAACTGAGCTTTCTCTTTCTTTGATCTTCTTCTTCTCCCCATAATTCCTGTTTTCCTCTTCTTTTGTCTTGTCGTGGTTCAAGTTTAAGTTTACCCGCCTAAGATTGTCTTTCTAGTAGTGTTTGGTTGGAGGAAAATTTTCCACCAAAAGTTCTAAATTTTTTCTTTTATAAGTTTATTTATGTATTTTTATAGATTAATAGTATAATAAAATAAGAGAAAATGAGGGTAAATGTGACATTTTAATCTTTATCTTCCCTTACACAATTCCTAACCCTAAACTTTTTTTTCCATATTTTTTAAAGGAAGAAGTTTATCCTCAATTTTTCCTATATAAGATTTACTTGACTATTTTTCTACTAATTTTTTATAATAATTTTTTATCAAATAAAGAAAAATTGCTAATTCAACAAAATTTTAAGAAAATTTTACCATAAAATTTATCAATTTTTCATACATATTATCAATTTTTACACAATATTTTTTAAATCATTTTTCTAATAAAAAACTTTTATAGTAAAATTGAACAGTGCTTAGATTCATGATTTAATTGGGCACAGGCAAATTAAACAGTGCTTAGATTCATGAGGGGTGGCAATTTGCCCCAATTCCCGTGTGGCTCTGTGGGGATCCCCATCAAGGGGACGAGACGAGGAGGAATATTTCTCTCCGCAAGGCAGGGATGAGGAGGAATATTCCTCTCTGCAAGGCAGGAACGAGGGGTATTTTCCTCTCGTGAAATTTCGCGGGAAATTTTCCTCGCCTTGTGAGAAAAATTTTAAAAAAAAATAATTTCATTTTAAATTTAATATAATTTTTAAACTCAAACCCAATTCAATAAAATTTAACCCAATTTTTTTCAACCCAACCCAATGCTTTTAACCCTAATTAACCTTATTCTGTTAATCATTTCTCCAAATCTCACTTCTCACAACACTACCTTTGCCTCCTCTCACTCTCGCCCTTTGGTGTCTCCCACCTAGGTCACCTTTGACTTTCCCCTTTGACCTTCCTTTTAAATCCCTTGCTACACTGCTGCTACACTGCTGCTGCACCGCTGTTGCGCCACTGCTGCACCGCTTATGCTCCCTTGTTGCACTACTGCTGCACCGGTAAAAAGTTTAAATAATTTTTTTATGTGTTGATTTAACATAGAAAAAATTTAGATTTTCTAGAATTTACTACATTCATTAACTGCACAATATGGGTTTTTATTAATTTTTTAGAAGAATTTATGTTCGAAAGAATTTATGTTTAATTAATTTTTATTTATGTTTGGAATAAGTTTATTAATTTAATTATTTATGTTAAATAAATCTCTATTTATGTTTGATGTAAAAATTATATATTTAGATATTAATTGATGAAAAATGAGAATGAAAGACAAAATCTACTCTTGTCAAAAATCCTCAAAGATCTCCATTCTCATCATTCACAAAAACGGGAACAGGTACAAAAACGAAGAGTAACTCCTTGATGCTGCGGGATCCATTGACATCCTATTCATGACTTAAATTGGGCACAGGCTTTCTAATGCGATGGGATCTTGGAGGTGCTATGACCTATGAGGTATTGTTGTGGAGCTAAGGCTACCGGGGTGGTTAAGTACGAAGGACCCCATGAGCTGGATTCCATCTGTAGGATCTATTTTTAAAATATCTTTTATTGTTGTAGGCAATGTTAGGCCATTTGAACCTGGTGTCTTTTTCTTTTGTTTATTTTTGATGTTTAACTTGGTGTATAATTAAGCACTATCGTAAAAGAGTTGAAGTTTTCTTGTACTCTAAGAATAATAAAATTTTTGGTTGGTTTGAGCTGAACTTGCATTTTACAATTTACAATGCTCACAAATAACTTTTGAGAACGGTTTTCTTTATCTACTTTCAAGAATAATTTTGACCCTCTATTTATTGCTTTAATCTCAGTACAGTGTTTGAGCACTAAAATATTCAAAAACATGGTTGTTAAAAAAGAAGAAGAAAGAAATACATGTTTTGCCTTAAGAACAGAAGAATGGTTTGATATATATATATATATATATATTTCAAGTTTGTCCCCTAAAATTTCACCTAAGACTCTCATTAAAAACTTAACAGAAAGCAACTAATTGTATAATTAAACTTAGTAATTTTAAAAAAGTTGAGAACCATACATTGTCTAAATAAAAGGCAGAGACATAATCGATATTTATGAAATAGATTGGACCAAATTTAGTATTTAATCAAAAAATTATTAAAAATGAGTAAAAAAAGAATAATAATAATAATAATAATAAATTTTGAAAAAAAAATTATATTATTTTTTTAGACAATATTTTTATATAATTTTTTGAGATAATTTTGTATATTATTTTTTAATAAAATTTGACGTATCATTTAAATAATTTATTTTTTTTATTTATATAAGATTTATAATATTAAATATATCTATTTATTTAATAATATATAAAAATTATATCAAAATATAAAATTTATTCCGGTAATATCATCCAATAAAAATATATCTAAAATACAAAAAAGGAAAAAATATTCAACCACCACGGCGACAAAAGCAACAAAAGAAGACAAATGTAGTGAAGAAAAAAGGAAAACGACAATAATAGCCGCCCCGTCCAGACGCCTCCACCACAGCAACTGGGCAAGAAAAGTCTCACAGTAACAAGTCACTAGCAAGCCTATAAAGTATAAACATAGATCAACCAAACTCGAGCAAAAAATTAGTCAACAGAATATGAGGCCAACATCCACAAGCAACGTTTCAATACATATTTTCAAGGACACGTCTAGATGATGGGTACTTGTTTGGGTACCTTGCAGAAATATATATTGATTGCCGACTGAAGTTGCTTTTGTTTTTTTTGTTTTTTTTTTTTTTTTGAGCAAATCCGCAAAAGTCGGATTCGAACAGTTGGTTTAAGAGGGAAAATGCACTTATATGTGATCTGATTTTATTAGATTGAAAGCTTTAAAGTTGCTTTTGTTTAATACGTAGTATGACTGAAAAATTGCATTTTATAATTTATGTGTTAAATACTTTATTAAAAAATATTTTTTAATTGATTTATAAGAAAAAATATAAGAAT